AGCTGTAACCAATATACAAGTCCATTGGCAGCAGATGTTATTAATGATGCCAATACATATTTTCTTATTAATCTTCCATACTAGGCTTGTGTCTATGTGCAAATGATTATCATTCATTTTCCTGACAAATCTATCAAGATCATTTATTACTGTTCAGCAAAGGATCTTCTTTTAAACAGAGATTAATAACGTTGCATTTTATCTGGCTGGCTGAGCCAAAGGAAATGAAATTAACAATGAGCCCTCCAAACATGTCATCACTTTAATTTACCGGAAAATACTTAAAAATGTTATTTAAAAGAATATACGCTGCGGTGGGCACAGCTTATTACAAAGGAAAGAAGTGAAACCGCATGCATTTTAGCAGGGTGGAGAGTAAGTAAGCAAACAGGGCACCGTGTTTCCTCTGGTTCCTTGCACTTGCTTTCTGAGACAAGGAGAAGCAGCTCCTACAGCCTCCGTTGGGCAGACGGGCACCTGCCTAGGTGAATCGCAGCTGATTGTCACTGTTCCTGGGTTAAAGCAGACCCTTTAAAACATGGGATCACAAGGATCTGCATGCAGAGAAACAGGGCTTTATAACCATGGAAAGGCAAAAGAAGGGATAAAGCCAAAAGGAAATGATAAAAGACAAAATACAGAGGGAAATGTCACTGGGGTAAAGCTCATGGAAAGGAGGACATGTAGGCTATAAAGGCCCAGGATCTGCTGCACTTTTGGTCCCAAGGAAGAAAACAAACAAACTCAGTAAATGTACACTGTTTAGATTCCTTTCTTCTGCATTTTCTCTTCCCTTCCTTTCCCTTCTCTTCCCTTCCCAAGTAAAATAACAACAAATATACACACAAGAACATATCAGAAACCCCCTCCTACTTTTACTGCCAGTAGTAATGCAAAACCTTAAAACCAGCTTTGCCTTTGCATTGCTTTGTTCATACTCATGAACTTACATTTTGAGACCCATATTTGTGCGGGTACCCACCACTGTGCCTTCACAGGACTTTCCCCACATGCCTGGCTCTGGGCTGTGACATCTCCAGCAATGGGAATCCCACCACTCCCCTCCACAGCCTTGTGCCTGGGGGATGCTTCCCCCCATCCCAGATAATGCAGCTCACTTCTCCATTTCTCAGTGCACAGTGCTTCCAACACCAGCACATCACACTTCTCTTCCTTGCCAGGGGGGGAAAGGAGAAGGTTGCTTGAAACAATTTTGCCTGACATAGTCAAGAAGCATCTCTCCTACAAATACTAAGGTCAACTTCTTACCTGCGGTGGATTCATCTTATCTTACCCGGATGCTAGGTTGGGAGCAATGTTTTAAGCCCCAGACTAAAGACAATAACCCTGGTAACCTCAAGCTGTAGCAGTTTCAAAATGCTGACATATCAGCAAGAGGATTTCCAGGTGTGCGTTTCTGTATCTATCTCTGCAGAGCAGCAAAAGCACGCTCCCTGAACTGGTGGGTGTTTAGCTGTACATTGTATTGCTACCTAAGTCTTCTTTCTAATTAAAAAGTCATCAATGTAGCATAGGTCTTGAAAAGTTTATGACAAATAAGAAAAGCCTGAATATACCCCAAAGCAGGGTTTGGCTTCTCCTCAGATTAAAAGGTAATGAGTTAGTAAGTGAAGCAAGCTGCCCATCTATTTAAGCTAGAGCCGTATCTCCAGTTACCTCGGGGACACTCTGTGGTTTGGTAAGTGGCAAGAGCCCAGCTGCACATGTCCAGGCCATATGCACTGAAGTAGGACCAGACTCAGAGCTTCTGAAAGGTCTAATCTTCTACTTTGACCTAGCATTTACTGGTAGAACTTGTGATCTTTGACTGAGCAATAACCAAAGTGCTTATGGCAGAATGTCCCTGCCTATTTCCTTACCAAACTGACATATTTCTTTTAGTGTAATTATCAATTTTGGCATAAAGACTGCAAGCTAAGAAACCAGTTTCTATTTAAGGTGCTCTAAAGAGTCAATACTCATTATGTATACACACACACACATATATATGTATATATATATAAAGCATACGCTCCTTACTTCTAGTGTGACTGCATCTTGCTCTGGCTTTCAACTGCTGGATTTGATCAAGCCTTTTCTGCTACATTAAGCAGTTGTCTGTTATGAACTTACACCACATACATAAAAATCACAGACAGTGCATGCAGAGAAACAGTACTTGATAACCTTGGGAAGACAGAAAAGAGACAAGGCCAAAAGGAAATGGCAAAGGACAAAATAGAGTGGATGGTGGTGAAAACCACATTCAAGGCCCTCATCTCATGGCCCTGTATATACATTTACTGGGGTACGTTTACTTTCCCCATTTCAGACTAGAAAAATGCTCAAGGAGGAGTCCTTGTTGGTGCTGCCCATCGTTGCCCCAGGTTCCACCACACATGATGCTGCTTCTTCCCACGTGTACTGTGACCCTCAGAGTTGTGCATTTTCTCCACCTTTCTGTAATCAAATGAGTCTTGAAACTCCTACAGGAGAGGTGGTGAACGCTTCTGCCCCAGAACAGCCCCTCAGCCTAAGTACTGGGTACTCTTCAAAGTCTGCTATGAAGTCCTTCGAGGGAAGCAGGGAAGTCTGTGGCCATCCTTTGGCTCTTTAATTCCTGACTTTAGATCCCATTTAATACCTGAAGCCATCTTCATGCCTTCCCTCCCTTTGTCTCAAACACCTCTGTGAATCAACCTTCACCACAGTACACAGGGGGATGTTATTTAAGCATGTGCCATCTGGTCAAAGGCTGGCATCAAGGTATCGCTGTGCCATTCAAACACAGCCCAAGATTTCATAAGCAAAAACTGATATACCATGCAGTGCAGTATTACAGATAAGCTGTCCAAGCAAGACCAGATGGCACCACCATGCCAAGGACAACAGACAGATATTAAGTTGTCAGAGTACAAACCAAAGTCAGCCTGAGCTGCTGAGCTCATGCCATCTCTGTGCCTGGTTCCCAGGATTGACAAAGAAGCTGTCCCCTAGGACACTGCAGAAACAGACTCCTGCAAAGGGCACTTGAGCCACTCTCTGTGAGCCACAGGATGTCCCCTGAGGAGGTCAGTGCCATGCAAGGGGATGTGTGAACAGTACATGTGTTAAACAGTACACACATGTGTACAAAACATAAGACCAACTGCACGTGCAACACTCAGCTACGGCTCCATGGTGTGGTTTCTTTACTAGAGTACTATCAGGTTGGGTTGATGGCACCCCTGATTCAGTATTGGGCTGGAGATCATTGAGGACAATTCCTCTGCCTGCTTTCTGGTTTATACTGGTTTATTACTGTGTGTGTGCATGTGTGAGGGGGAAGGACCATGGCAACCATTTTAAGAAACCCCTGATTTTTGCTGCATTCGGTCAAAACAGGAAAGTTGTCCAAAACATTCAGCTGTGACTCGCTGCTGTAGCTTCCACAACGCAACATCCAATTTAATATGTGAGCCTCATAACCAACACATCCAGTGCAATAGTTCACATCAGGTTGAAGAAAAGAAATCCTGCTGGAAGCACAGGCAAGGAGCAGTGTCAATTTTTCATTAACCTACAGCCACTGTCTCTGTAGACTTATAGCTATAAGTAAGATTACTGTTAGAATTTCTTCTGGTCCCCAAGGGGAGGGAAAAAAAAACTTCCCAAAACTTTTAAGGTCATTAAACCCCCTCCTCCTCCCTTTAAATTGGAGGTAGTTTCAGTTTACATTCATATTTCAAAATCAGATCTCAGCTTCAGCTTCACATCAAAGCAGAAATGTCACTTGCTTTGTTTCTACATCTTCCATGAAAGAAGTTCCAGCTTATACATGAGCTGAATGCCAAGTAAATAGATTTTCCTGAGGAACAAAGGCAGCTTTTTTGTTTGTTTTAAACATATGTAAATAGAGTCCCAGGAGCTGAGCTGCCTGTCACTTCAACCAGGTTTACACTCATGTCACTCCACCTGGTTATTTCTGACTGACCTTAGGTCAGCACTGCAGAAGTTCCCCTCCCTTCTCCTCCACACACTTGGTATCAAGGAGCCACTCCAGCCCTTTCCCTCCACTCTCATACCTCAGCAAAGGGGAAACAGCTTCGTATGTATCTCTTTTTCTTTGCTAGTTTCTTCTTTCCTTTTTCAGCTCTAGTTACAGAATCACAATAATGCTCTGGTCCTCTGTCACAGTCACCAACATGGTTCTGAAAAGCTTTCGACAGATCAGATCAGTATCTGACAATATATGGCTACCATCAGTAAGGCATCAGTGCTGTGTTCCTACACACTAGTGTATTAAAGACTGATGTACCTACTGGTTCATGGTAGGGAGAGGCACGGAAGAAACAGGAATGGATTGGTAAGAAAAATGGCATGAGGGCACCATCAGTCTTGAGTTTTCTCTTTCTAGTATCAGGCATTTCAACAGTGAAGAGTTATTTTCCACAGAGCAAGAAGACAACAGACAGGAGCACAATCCCCTCAACCTCATCTTCCAGTACTTGCTTTTCTTTGCAAATCAATGCAAAATTAAGAGCACATAATGCTTGTCGTTTCCAAATGGCTTGGGTTATATCTCAATCTTCAGCACTTGTTTGGGGTGTAATACCAGGTAGCACTGAGGAATGCATCATTTCACAGGCTCCGCATAAGCCACAATTAAGGAAAATCCTCAAGTACACGAGAAACCTCAATTTTGATTGGTCAAGTCACCATAACTTATTGATAATTCAAATCACTCCAGTATTATTCAGTGTTTTCTTCTCTCTGCTTTTTTCATCTCTTGACAAGTTTACAAAGAAAAGAATGGAGCAGAGCTTAGCTGCATTACATCCAATATGCTGCCTACACAAACGCCAGAGAAGCTAAATGAACCTCAGAACATATGGCACTCTGCTGACAGGGCTCAGAAACTGGTTCTGCATGAGCAACAGGGAACATCTTGAAACACACAAGACATATGTGTTTTAGGAAGAAGATTGAAGTGTTTCATAATAAAACAGGACAAAGTGAAATACAAGTGCTGTATAAAATTTTAATTAAAAACTGGTTTTACCCCTCAACATGAATATACAATATGTTCCCCAGATGGATTTCATATTTAAGTATTATCCAAACCAAAAACGTAAATGAGACAAATAAAGCCTTCAAAAATGGCACAGAGGCTAAAATGTATGTAAACACTAGATGACTGTGGTGAAAACAAGGCAGGCAGGGAAAGCAACCTCTTAGCAAATGTTTACTACTGGAGTACTGAATGAACCAGTTCATACGACTATAGTAACAACACAATTAGCTAACCGCTCAAAAATTCAAGTCAGTGTAACAATACAAATATAAGCATTAGAATTCACCCCCACTCAGCAATGTAAATAGTGCTTTTGTTACTTCAAAGTTTCACAGGTTATTTTACACACTGATTATTCACGGTATACAAATGCATAATTCGCGGCATGCCACGAGAAGCCACTCTCAAACCACTCTCCAAGCCTTCAGCCTCCCACCCCACCTCTGTGTGAAGCTCTGTCAATGGCATCAGCTCTGCAGGGTTACATAAATGCCTGATCACAGGACAGGGTTTTTGTGCTGTATTCTCAGGATCGGTCAATTCTTATGAACCAAGAGGGATGTTGTTGTGTAACAGCAAACTCCTTTCCCTGAAGGGCTGAGAAGAAGGCTCAGATCACCACTTCTCAGACTGCTAGGTCGGAAGCAATCACCCAGAGCTGAATGGAAATACACATGAAGAAAGAGCACAATCTCCAAACTGATCAAGCAAAGAAAAAGATTACAGTTCCTTTATGTTGTCATCCTGACAAATTATCACTGCACTTCACAGAATTTCTCACTCAAGACAAACAGGGAACAAACTGCAAGTCTTTGGCAAGCCAACACTGGTAACAAAAAGAGCTACAGCTTCATCTTTTAAGGGCTTTGGTTGATGACATTTTGTATTCCATGGAGAAAGCGGTAGAAACCAATGCACAAGTGGGGCTTGTGCTTAGTAGTTCACTAAGTAATAGAAATACTACCTGTTCTTGGTCACTTCCCACCACACTGGTTTATTCATTGAAACCGAAGGGAATTGGGCAAAGACTGGTTCTCTGCTGCTGCCAGAGACCCTCACCTATACCAGACATCATTTGTCAGTGAGGTAGCTTGTCAAGATCATCCACAGAAATATTCCAGCTTCAATTACTTTCACCAGAATCAAGCAGCTAAGTTTCATTGATTTGAAAGTTCCCCCAAATTCCTTTACTACTAACCAAATCTCTTGAGATACTCTCAGCATCCTGATAATGATCACTCCATAACCACTGAAGAAATGAACATCATGGTAGGTCTTCCCATGACCCAGAGATTCTACATTACAAGATTTATACAGTTATGTGACCACTGCTGAAAGGTGAAGAATTTTGTTGCATAGTTCAGCATTTCAGCAAAGACTTTGAAGCTTGAATATCAGGAAGAGTAGATTTAATAAGCTATTCTGTGCACATGGACTGAAAAGGCAGAGATTCCTTCCAACTTACTTTCTCTGACAACCCCATGGCACACCACAACAACCTTTTCCACTGTCAAGTTGCACACATCATTGCACCCCTTGCTCCTGGGGAGAAGATGAGAACAAATGATGTGATAGATGTTAATAGCGCTGATTAGTACACACAGCAGACAGCACTGAGACATCAGGATGACAAAAATGATTTGTATTAGAAAAGAAAAGATATCATGAGAACAATCAGTCTGAGTATGATGAACCCAACTTATGCAGGAGACAGAAGCTGAGCAGGATACCAACTGCAAAAATTAGTGCCTAAAAGCACACGTAGTAAAGTACTTCATTATCTTTTTCAGCCGTCTCTTAGACTTAATAGATTTCTATCTTGATAAGATTAACACTTGCTTAATAACTGTCTAATTAAAACATAATAAAACTGGGAAAATTAAAATAAAGCCTCTTTAATAACCTGGAGATGAGATGGGACTTTTCAGCCAGGCTTCCACAAAATAATTTCTGCAACAGTCACCTCAGGATCCCAAAGCACTTCACAGTCATTTAATTAAACTTCAACAGAGCACAAACTCCCCATTTTACAGCTGAGGTAACAATGAGAGAGAGTTTGGAAGACTCTTTAATACTGAGCAGAGCTAAAAGTTCTGTTACTTTACCAAAAATATAGATTCCCAACAACTCTAGGTAGATTTCTTTCTCCCCTCACCATTTTGGCAGCCTCTAAAGTAATAGAAAAATACAAGCATGTGGTGCACAATCTAAAGAACAGCTCTCAGCATCTTCCAAGCTGCTCAGATTTGAAGTATAAACACTGCTGCCCATCTACAGAATCACAGAATCAACTAGATTGGAAAAGACCTTTAAGATCCGTCACTTCAGGACTGCCGAGATGCTCCTATGTGTCCCCATTACTCATCTTCTCCTGTGCCTAGTGGACCAATTTAAGCTTCTCCTAGTGGAAAACTTAGATAAGGCAAATCATTAGAGTCTGACATTTTTGTCTTTAATCCACAATAGGTCAATGACCAAGTGATTTCCAAAGCAACTACCACTCACCACCAAAGGATTTGCATTTCTACCGAACACAAGTAGATAGTTTGTGTAAAGCCACCCCAATATCCTAAACTGTAACAAGTTATTTGTAGGAATGAGGGGAGGGACTAAGTAGGAAGCAGACTGACTTAATTAAAATGAAAGTGATTAAAATACTGCACTGAGTGCATACTGCAAGCAACACTGGATGCTGAATAGCATTTGGTGAGAATACTTATGGGTTATAATAACTTGGGGAGGGCAAGAGAAAGAGACAGACTCTACAGAAAAACACTAATTCCTTCTTAATCTAGCCCATTATTTCTAGATTTGAGTAGGCAGCTTTCCTTTAGGAGGTAAAATGACGGGGGTGGAATTATGCCATCCCACTGTCACTAACAGACCACTTTGTGGATGGCAAAAGATAAGGAATGAGCATAGAAAAATGCTATTTAAAGATCCACTCAGGAACCTGGAAATTTGCATTTGATAGAAGGGATTTAAATTGTATTAGAAGGCAAGGTGCACTAAACAATTACAGTTTATTACTACGTTGGTTCGCTGCCTGAACCTATACTTATCACATACTGCAGCAGCAAAGGAGCAGCAGTGCTCTGTGCACTTGAGCTGCACGCATATTAATAAGAGGGTTAGCTGAGCAAACAGGGAAGGGGCCAAATGCTTCTGAAAACAAAGTGGCTTGCAGATTTTATGGACAGATCGGAGTAATTTGGGTTTTAAGTCACATTTCAGAGAAAAGTTTTCCATTAACCAAACCAGATTTCCAGCACAGTGCTTGGAAAAGAACACTCTCTGCTGTATCACAGCATACAAGCTGTAGAATGACTCTGACCCAAGAGAGAAGCACATATCCTGCAGCAGCTGATTCAGAAAGACATTATACACACCATCTCCCCTCGCAGCTGGAGAAGGGCCAACGACACTCACAGTCTATCTGCTTCATTTGTTGTTATGCTGCATACGAATGCTACACTGAGAATATTCACGCTGGTCAACAACTTCTTTTTTAATTCCCATCTAGTTTTCAACTTTGATGAAAAATTTTTCATCTTTGCTGAAAAACTGAAGGTTGCCATATTACCGTATGTTTCCTTTCTTTAGCTAGGAGAATCAAACAGGCATACCCTAGCCATTCCTCTGGAGCTCTCAAAAACACTACACTGTTTTTTCACCATGGCCTCCAACTTCCTTCATCTCCTCTTTTTGTCTTGAATACATGGCAACTTGTGTCCTGACTCATCCATTTAAAAAACCCCAAAGCCTCAGCAGTCAGGCCTTCTAATGCATAGAATGGGGACTGAAATCTGCTGGATTGCCAGGAATGGAAAAGTCATTCTGTCATAGAAGCAGATTATGCCAAAGGCGAGCAGCCAATCTTCAGAAGACTGGAGCTTCTACTAAGCTATGACACTGGGGAGGGAAAACACAGAGAATATTGAACGAAAACTGGGCTACCACAAGAAGAAGAATAAATCCTATGGCTCAAACTTAGGTAACTGCAACAACCTTCATATTTCAGTAGATTCATTTAAGCCAAAAGCTTGGAAAGTATCTCTTAGAATGTGCCCTGCCTATTTAGGATCCATTTGAATATACCTACTCTCCTGAGCAGCAAGGAGAAAGAAACTGTTCCTTTATGGACAAACATGGGGTCACAGGAACAGGCTGATGAATCAATACCAGGCACTGGCAGCACAATACTCCATGGCCACCATGCCTTCAGTGGCACAGCTTGAGTATGTTTTACTTTTCACTTCTGCAAAAAAAGTGCACTACTACTTCATAGAGTGACTCAACACTTATCCATAGCATAGGACTGTGCAACTAATGCCCTTTGAAAGCACTAATGTGCTAAATGGCATCAGGGACAGGAAGTTATCAGTGCTAATCCACTTCAACTGGTTTAACAGTTCCAAAGAATAGAAATGTCTATATGCAAGACACTTCCTCTGAGAGTCCCCATTCCTGAAACAGAAGCACAAAGCCTTTCAACATGCTTTCCCACTAGCGTAATTGCTCACCAACTGCTTTCTCAATTCAATTACGTTGTCTCAGCACTAAAGGATGGAAGGCAGAGTAGACCAACTTCTTGTTTATCTAGGCATGCTGGCAGGTTACAGTCATATGTTCTGCCATCTGTGCTGCTAGCTTTATCCTTTATCCAATCATAACAGGTAAAATGGCATTGGTGTAACTGAATCTGTTCTTTCAGACAGAGAAGGAGCCAGAACAGGCATTTGTTTTTTCCCCCCATTCTGAAAGGAAGCGGGAGATGGACACTCTTGCCCTTTTAAAACATTCTGCTTTTCAATACATGGGCAATTTGCCCTGGTCTGCTAATGTGGGATCTGTTCAATGCGAAGCTGTAAAGGTTCCATCTCTGGGGAAAGCATCGAACTGCTGATGAACATTTGGTGGCCTTTAGCAAAAACGATGCTATTTCTGCCAACAGGATCCCAGCAGACTGGGAAGGACAGGCTCCAGATTAGGTGGGACTGTGATGCAGGAACTTCAGAAGGTCTGCACAGAGTATATGAGGAGTTTGCTGACTAGTTGCAGTCTTCCCCCCTCCACACTCTTTTGTTATTCATATTGGTTAAAATTACAAGTATATTGGCAAATACTGTGGCTGCATTCAAGAGAAGCTGGAAGCTCTCAAATGCACAAGGTGTGTGAAGATGACCTTTCTTTGGATACAAAGGCTGCTGGGCTGTGTGAGTTTCTTTTAAAATTCGACAGTATTAGGAAATTTGTGACTAAAGGTGCTTGAGATCACTTTGAAAACAGGTCTACAGGTCAGTATCAGAGTTCCCAAAACTAAATAATCCAAAGCCAATATTCTAGAAAACAATTTCCTTTGTCCCACATGGGATGCTTTTAAGACAACGCTCACATTCACCTTCCTTTTTAGACCCCCTCTCTGAAAACTACGATACCCTGCTTTGTCAGTCAAGCCTGTTTATGTCACTAAATAGCTTTAATTATTAAGTAAGAATTGGCTGCAGCAAAAACCTGAGTTAATATCAGACAGCAAGGGCCAGCAGACATATTACTCTTCAAATGTTTTCAAATGAGCCTTCTTTTCATAGTCCCACAGGAGTAACACCATCTTGCTTAACTGTGGATGGGCTTAGTTGCTGTTGTTTTTGTCTGATTTGTTGTTTGGAGGGGGAGGAAGAGAAGGAAGAGCAAGGTGAGGAGCAGAGTTAATAGTTTCCTTTGGCAACCCAGACCAAAACCCCACTTCTTGAAAACCCTGCTCAACCGTAATTACACCTTAAAAATAGAGTACAAATATTTGTTACATAAAAATAGATCTCATAACAAATAAGAACACTACATGCTGTGCATTTCCAGGTGAATTGTTATTAGGAGTGTGGGTTTTTGTCTGAAGCAGTGCCAGCAGCTTTTTGGTACATGTTTCTGTATATTTTCTCAAGACTCTCTTCAAAGATGGCTCTGTGAGGCTTCCCTTTGTATACAGATGCACGATTAGACCAATATTCACCATTATCCAAATGAACAGTAGTGTTCTGCAGCACTGGTGAACTGTCAAAAGAAAGGAGAGAAGAAATAATGAACAAATCAAGACAAGGAATAGGAATCAGAAGCACAAAATCATCAGAAATCACAATGTAGAGCTGCTAAACACAGATTACCTTTCACAAATTGAAATGAAAACTGCACTGCAGCTACTTCTAAGAAATGGGAGCCTCATGTTATTCATACACACAAATTCTCCCCCACTTATCTGAGTGCACTTGATAATACCTCCCAAATAGAAAGCAAATTAATTTTCAAAGAGCATGCAGTAATCTTGCTGTATATTGATAGCGTGCTAGGTACTAAGCCTATGCAAGAGCAACACAGTAGGATTTTTGTGTCCTTTCAAGGTTAAAATGTAACCACAAGCAGCTATTTCAATATGAAGACAATCTATCAGAGGTATACTAAATTACTGTGGTTGCAGCTGCAAAGTGCTCTATCGGAAGCATCTTGGATTAAGTATTCTCCCAAATACATTATGATATAGTGGCAATCGAATGTTCCTTCCCCACCCCATCTTCTGTGTCACTGTTTTAATATTAAACACAAATAACAGCCTCATATTTCAGCTGCTTTGAGAAAGTATTTCCTAGATCTACAAAGTGAAATTTATCTCTGAAAATCATTACAAAACACTGACAGAGCTGAAGCATGTATATTGAAACTTCATGACTATTTAACTTCTCTTAAAACTTCCAAAACAAAGGCTTGTGTCATGTAATGAAACGAGCATTTTCCTGTAATAAAGCATGAAACAAGTAGTTAAAAAAACCATAAGCAGAAAATGGCTACTGAGGTGGTATTTTTCACATTTGCCCAAAGGTTCAGACACTTAAGACATGTAAAAAGTAGGACAGGGTTATCTTCAGCCTTACGTGAATGTTCTCAGTCTGTGAAATGAAACCAGAAATACGAAGCTTACAGTGTCCATCTTTAAGAAATGGATTACATATTGCAGGGAAGCTTTACATTTTCTTACACACATGTAACTTATTAATCTACTACGGTCAAAACAGTACTTAAAACATTGTCCTCAAGTGACATGGTGACACGGACAGTGAGACTGAGTGCGCCCTCAGCAAGTTTGCCGATGACACCAAGCTGTGTGGTTCGGTTGATACCCTGGAGGGAAGGAATGCCATCCAGAGGGACCTTGACACACTTGTGAGATGGGCTGATGCCAACCTCATGAAGTTTAACCATGCCAAGTGCAAGGTCCTACACCTGGGTCGGAGCAATCCCAGGCACAGCTACAGGTTGGGCAGAGAAGAGATTCAGAGCAGCCCTGTGGAGAAGGACTTGGGGGTGTTGGTCGATGAGAAAATGAACATGAGCTGGCTGCAGTGTGCGCTCGCAGCCCAGAAAGCCAACCATATCCTGGGCTACATCAAAAGGAGCGTGACCAGCAGGTCGAAGGAGGTGATCCTGCCCCTCTACTCTGCTCTTGTGAGACCTCACCTGGAGTATTGTGTGCAATTCTGGTGTCCTCAACATAAAAAAGGACATGGAACTGTTGAAACAAGTCCAGAGGAGGCCACGAGGATGATCAGGGGACTGGAGCACCTCCCGTATGAAGACAGGCTGAGGAAGTTGGGGCTGTTCAGCCTGGAGAAGAGAAGGCTGCGTGGAGACCTCATAGCAAGGGGGTCTATAAAGATGCTGGGGAGGGACTCTTCATTAGGGACTATAGTGATAGGACAAGGGGTAACAGGTTCAAACTTAAACAGGGGAAGTTTAGATTGTATATAAGGAAGAAGTTCTTTGCTGTAAGGGTGGTGAGGCACTGGAATGGGTTGTCCAGAGAAGTGGTAAATGCGCCATCCCTGGCAGTGTTCAAGGCCAGGTTGGACAGAGCCCTGGGTGACATGGTTTAGTGTGAGGTGTCCCTGCCCATGGCAGGGTGGTTGGAACTAGATGATCTTAAGGTCCTTTCCAACCCTAACTATTCTATGATTCTATGATTCTAAGTTAACATCAGTAAACACCTGTGACACAACTGAAAGAAACCTTTTGTCAAAGGACTCACAAATATACTTCTATCTAGCTGCATCAAAACACAAAGTTTTCACTTTAAGAAAGGAAAATGGTGAGGGAAGAAGAGGAAGATGTAGGATCAGTTTTCTAAATTCCCATTTCTAAGTTTCCACTGTCCCATGAAAACAAAAGAAGGAATAGCTTTTGCTTTTAGATTTCTAACATTCAAATATTAGGGTGATGCCAACCTATACCATGTAAAACAACAAGATCTCTATGTGGCTCCAATATCATAAAGGAAGGCAGGCCTCTTCCACACTTTTTCAAAAGAGCTCCAACATTTAAAGTCAGTCAACAGCATGAAGCAAACTTAAACCTGTTCATCATCCCGGAGAGGGTGAACTCTACTCACAGTCTGGACACGAAGAACCGACCTACTAAACAGCAAAACTGATAGAAAAGTTATACAGGCCTGTATTAAATGTAGACAAGTCAATACCCACGGGACCCACCAACAACTGAAGTTTCACCTCCTCTTTTCTTCAGTTAGTGTTACCTCACTTGTGATGAGAGCATTCTCAGGCCAACAAATAAGCACAGTGCTAGAAGTGGCACTTGTAACTATACAAGAAATAACTCTGATACTCTTTTCCCCCGTATTCATTTCCTGAAGGCAGCCTTGTGCTTGACTTTGACTAAAAGCTTGATCTACATGTAGAGACACTCAAAATTCAACTACTTTAACTGCAGTAAAGGAAAGACTCAAAAACCCAACAGTAACTTTCACAGATTCCTTATTCTGGTACTGACAAAGACTTAGAAAAAAAACATAAGCTTCAGTTTACCTTCCTTTTTTGGAGGGCGGGAGTGCGAGCATTTCCACTAGCCAGACCTTGCACATGAGATACTTAGCACTGGTGTGCAAAAGGATACAGCCAAGCTAGAGAAGAGTCCCTCTGTTGCCTCAACTGGAAACCAGCTGACAACCCAAGCTAAGCAATCTGGGAATTACACTCACAAATTGTATTAACAGCAAGACTTCTTCACGCAACTCCCTGCTCTGAAATACCTGTCATAGGGTTTTGTTCCCTCATACATATCCTTTAAATGTCACAGTTCTTTTCTGAGTGAATCATGTACTAAATATTTCACAAAACACGGACCTTTTCCTTACTCCCAGTGGTTTTCAATCATCTATCTACTTTACTGCCAACATTTGGTCTACAGTACCGTGTCCTTCTATGAACTTTGTCTCTGTCCTTGTATCCTGTTTATGAGCACTGTGGCAAACACTCAGCAGCCACTTTCCTCGAGTCCTTTCATGTCTCGCCCTTAGTGCTGCTGGCCTCTAAACCCAAGGAGCAGTCTTTTCCCAATCTGAGTGCCACATTTCATATCTCATCACTTCAAGATTCTGCAGTATTAAGGTTTGGGTTTTCTTTTTTCATGGTCTGCAGTTTCAGCATCAACCACAAAATCCCAAAGCTGCCTCAAAACAAAAACTTGCACTTTCTTTCTCACAAACACATCCTACAAAATGTAATTGCAGCAGCTGTCAGGGCCAAGGTTAAGGGAGCAGAAAGGCTACACACAAATTAAAGGAGTGAGCACAGGAATACCAACAACTTCAACGGCAACTTCACATACATGTGGAAATCTGACTAACTAGATCCCTTGCACAGAGGTGACTACAATTTATAGGAATTGAAAAAAAAGAAGCCAAGAAATCATAAATGAACATCTTAGATCTAACTGATTGCAAGTTGAAGTTTGCTACAATACCCCTATTGACTTACTTACCCTCTTTTCAAGTACGATTCAGGAAGCCTTTGTTACAAAATATTGCATCACACTGAATTATCAAAATAAACCCTGTTTATTCATATGTCAGGACCTCTCAAATTTAGCACCACAGTTCCAGGACTTCTCTCTTTATATAATCAGAAAATCCAAACTCCAAACAATCCAAATCCATACAATCCAAAAAACGTTTTACATTACTTGGTATTTTTCCTTCAACAGGTACCCAAAACGTTGTACAAAATACTGTGTGTATGCATGGAGAACAGCAATATTGATAACTTCTACTAAAGACGTTGTCAAAGTCAATTCAACTGGTGCTTTTAAGTAAAATATTCAAGCAAAACCCTAGTCATAAATGTGAGGAGTACACAGAATAATTAACCTACAAAACTAGGCTTTCAAGATCTCAGGTTTTCAAGATGTCTTCTGAAACATGGCAAGCTGAATCACAAAACCATAGTATATATATTTGCTGTATATTTTGAAGCTGCTTCTCTTTTCCAAATGTGTTTTGGAAAAAAAAGAAGAAAACAACCAAACAGCCCGAAGCCATATCACTAAATAAACTCCAATTTATTTTTGTACTCCCATAGGTTTAAGAAAAAATAACTAATTAGTTATTTTTAAAGTGACATTTGCTCTCTGGCTGATGAAATCTAAAACATGCTGCCCAAGGATCATTTTTATGACCAAGTCCAGTTCCAAAATGAGTGTTTTATGAAGACTATACTGACACACTGCCAAACAGCATGAAAGGCATAATTATAGTTAACTGCATTCTGCTTTTGGTAGGAGTAACTCCTATGGAAGCTTTTCCCCAGTGCAATATATTACACAGCTCAAAATAGGAAGAGAATTTTTTAGCTAAATTTAAAGGGCAATGTCAGGATTATGACTGTTCTGTCTTGGTCAGAGAAAAACTCCATACCCGTTCTGTTGTTGCCTCATGGATAAGGGTGCTTTAAGTGCAGATTCTCTTGTCTTAGTCAAGGCTCCTTTAGATGAGTTACTCTCATCCTGAAAAAAAAAAGGAAGAAATCAAATTCTCATTACCTTGGTTTCTGGTTACAATGATCTCATTTCAAAAATTCTTTCCATTTAGTAGAAGACTATTAAAGTGCTTACATTTCTTGGGGGAGAAAGGGACAAAGTGTAATGAGCCAAATGCCATTTATGAACACTTTTAATTAAGTTCAGTACAATTCAGCTAATAATTTTAAGGTAATAAACTGAAAAGAATTTTTAGACAATATAGATCTAGAGAACTATGCAGACAGCACAACCTTCAGTAATCCCCAACAAACACATGGGTAAAATGTTATGAAACTGCTCACTGCCTTACTTTTGTTTCTTGCAGAAAAGGGGGGGAAGGAACCTAAAACTTATCATTTATTAGCTTTTCTAATGAGCCGTCGTTATCCATTCAATGCATTTTACAGACGGAAGCATTCCACACATCTGAATACTTCGATTCCATATACAAGGTTGAGAACACACTTAGCCAATTAAAAAAAATATCTATGATACACTTAATGACCCTTCAGTGGTATTCTTAGTAGTCACTAGAAAGCAGTCTGATCTTCTAAATGCTACCTAGACATTAATTAAGCCATATTTGCCTTCTTATGTAAGTAAGGAAGACAACATTTCATGTGAAGGGAGCCAGTTGCTCACCTGAGGCAGGATGGTAGAAATTCCACCACACAAACACGTTCACTCTACTCTGAAGAGCACTGCTTAGGAGGTGATACTAAGTGTGGCTTTCAGAAGAAGCCAGTTGTTGTAAGGATTAATAAACAAAATCATCTTTCATGCTATAGAAGAAATAACTGGAAACAAAGACTGTGCAGTAAAAATCATCACACAAAACTGAGAGAAAAGAGAATGAATATAGTGGAAGATGGCAGTAAGAAGCAGAGCAAACTGAACGGCAGGTGTATGGATGAGGAAAAACCTAACACAGTTTATTGTGGTATAATACGAGGTAATAAGTGTATTTGTAAACAGGAAAGCTCTCTTCCTTCAACAGTCACAGACTATAGAGCACTGAAGAGGAAATGGGGTACAGTGGTAAATAAAACTGCAGCATTTGCCAGAGGCAACTTATGTTGTGGAAAGCAAAAAAAGATGGAAACATTATGGATACTGTCAGAATGTCACAGCAGAAAGCTACAGTGCGGACCCTAAGGAATCTGCAGTAGAGCTCTAGTCACACTAGTTTTATAGAACATTATGGAAACAAAATTTTGGAAAACACAGCTGAATGCTTCTGGGAATAGTTATTTAGCAGAATGAAACAAAATAAGAGGTATTTTTTAACCTTTCAAAGTTTGAAGGAGAATGCAGACGGGAGCCAAAATCTACTTGCCATGCTGCCAGTGCACTTCCTTTACTATTCCTTCACTTTCAACATGACTCATTTACTTCATCCATTAACTGTGCAACAACTCAGCCTAGATTTTGTGCAGTCTGGGGAAGAACAAACCAATCCTGGTGTACTTTCCAGTACTCATTGCAAGTAGGCCTGATTTTCATTTTGTTTTAAGCTGCTCAGCTGCTGTTAACACAGCTTTCACAAGTTAGCCGTACACAGTCACCAAACACCATGAGACTTCTCTGTAACATCCTCCCGTTCCTTTTGGTTGGTGGAAGAAAATGGAGTAAGAAAAATGGTCCTTTCTCAACACCTTTCTGACCATATTGCTAATTAAAGAATCAAAAATCTTATCCAGTACCCTGATATCTGGATTTTCTTGGGCACAAACACGTTGAGATTTTTCAACAGGAAAGGAAACAGAAAAGCATCATCTCTGATTTTTAATCCCTGTGAGTATTCAGCAAGGGTTTGATTCTGGAAGTGACAAGTTGTGCTAACAGAAAGCCAACAGAAAGTACCATGCTTCAAGAACCTAACAACATGCTTGAAAAATTGTGTGCATCTGTGCAATGTTGCAGTAACAAGTGAATATCTGTATGTTTTAATCATTCTAAAGTAAAATGTTTTAAACTATATAAGTAAGTAAATAGGAAGAAAATGATGGAATTCTCATTTACCCATTATTGTACTTAATGGTCTTTATGACTGTCTGAAGAAACCATGTAATCAGCCATCCAGCTGTCCTAATAAACTAGTAAATCTTTCACCAAAAAGTCATGGTCTGCTGCTCAAGGAAAGTAGTCAAGGACCAGTTGAGATAGTTCAGGCTGTGCAAACTTTCATTACATGTAGGTGCTAGACCATAATGAAATCCAATTTGTTATCTTAAGTTCATTGAAACATCAGAGAAGCATTTGACATGATTTGTACCTATTTTGGAGTAGCTGAGAAACAGAAAAGTGTGATGGGCATCTTCTATTTGAAAGGCAGCAGCTCACAAGATCACAATGTTGGTAGACAATACCAGGGAGGTAAAGCATGAACTAAATCAGTCTTAGCATGCATGAGAGAAGGGTTTTTGAGTTTAAAACAAAAAGCACAACAACTAAGCTTAAAATGAAGATTGAACAGAAAGAGAAAACAGATTAAGAAAGCATGCAGGCAACACAAAGAGCTGCCTAGGATGGCTGAATTTGGGGAAATAAATAAATAGAGACTTCAGAGCTAAGACTTTTTTCAGTACATCTTGAAGCAGTGGATTGAGACAACATCCTTCACTCTGCCACGGGTTTACTGTAGTAGGTGGAGTCACTGTGTCCCAGCCAGCAAAGCTCATGTGCCAGTGTGTTACATCTGCTGTTCCTGTGTTGAAGTGTGAGGTGGTGGGGAAGGCTCCCACACTTCTCACTGATAGTAAACTACATCAGAGGGGAAAGGTGGAGAGCTGGGGACAGTAGTAACTTAAAGTTGCAGGACCATTCAAAAGCAGATTTCTATCAACAATCCCTATTTTCTAAGAGGAGAAATTGAAGCAAAAAAAGATGTCTTTCTCCACTTTGGGAGACTCGTATGTCTTCTAACCCATCAATAATATTTGTGTCTTAAGACTGTCAGACAAAACCAGTCATTTCATCAGAGCTCCTAATCTTAATCTTACCTAATCTCACCCTTATATCTTTTTATCTTACCTTTCTTCTACCTCACCTCACACTTAAGACCCTGAGTCCTTTGCAGATGAGCACTACTGTTATTCAGTTTGTACAATGCTTTGGGATTGTGCTGGGTCACAACTGGGTTCCTCAAAATCACAATAGCAAAAATTTTTATCTGTCTAAAACCACACTTCAAAATTCCATCAGTCTCAAGGACAAAATATTCTGATCCCGGGCATAATCTTATTAGATAAAGAGCTCTGCTCACCGAAAGTCATGTAATTAAAGGGAAAAAAGCACACATCTGAAGAATAACATTAGCCCTATAGACAGCTGGATACAAGCAGCTGCTGATGTGCAGCTGCACAACATGTTAAGCCTTGATGTTCTACAGATCTGTAACATATTTTTTTCTTGACTTGGAAGTGGAGAACTATATATATATATATATATATAAGAAAGTTTTTGTTCTTAATAACCCATGAGAGGGTTACCTATAGCAACTACACATAAGCAGGCTACTCAAAATAGTGTGAAACAGTTCAGCTTAGGAACTAGATCCATATTTCTACAATCAAGGCTGCCTCAAAAGGACAATATTAAAATAAAACCAGGACTGCAGGTACAGTTCTCTTCCTCAGCCATCTTGGAGAAAAGAAAGGATTTAGTTTGCAGTCAAACTCACAAATATTAGGCGCTGTCTAGCACTGTGTGTCCTCAAAATATTTTTCACTCTCATGTGGATCTCCTCTCCATTTGCTGGTAAAGGCCAACCAGAGCTAAATCTGGAAGACGAAAAACAAAGGGAAGAAACATTTCCTTGTTGAAAGCTCAAACATGCTTTTGACTCAGGTTTGTTTGTGGTTTTTTATTCTGCTGTTGTTTTAAATCATGAAGCATGCATTACTTCTTTCTATTTGCAACATATACAATGTTTAGGTTTGTTTCTTTTGCTCCTCTGGGGTACAAGTAAAGAGTGATTTCAAAGCAGTGCACAATACCAACAAAAGATGCGAAACAGAAAATGTTGATGATTTTGTAACTTCAGTAATATTTCTGTAATGTTTGCATTGTCTCTATGGGATAGAAAAGCTATACAGTTATTCGGTTCTCAGTGATCAGGTTTTATTTTCCTCTCTTTAAAGGAAGTATAATACACATCAAATTCTTTTTGCTGGAATAAATCAACAGGAAGATAACCCCAACGAGTGCAAATTGGAAAGCCTATGGAGTAAAAAAAATTGCAAATTCAGAGTCTTTATTTCACAAGATAGAACTGCATTTTAAGTTGCTTTTTTAAATTAAAAACCAGGTAGCTTGCTTGATATGAGTAACTTCAAGCTAACAGCTACTTTGGGATTTTATCCTTCTATGTTTTGCAGCACTTTTTTTCACTTTTCTAAAACCCAAACCCCTCATAGAATCATAGAATAGTTAGGGTTGGAAAGGACCTTAAGATCATCAAGTTCCAACCCCCACTGCCATAGGCAGGGACACCTCACACTAAACCATGTCATCCAAGGCTCTGTCCAACCTGGCCTTGAACACTGCCAGGAATGGAGCATTCACAACTTCCCTGGGGAACCCATTCCAGTGCCTCACCACCCTCATCTGTTTCAGCAAGTTCAGAAGCTGGCTGAAATTATCCTGGGCTGCATCAAAAGAAGCCTGACCAGCAGATCAAAGGAGATGATCCTGCCCCTCTACTCTACCCCTGTGAGAACCCACTTGGAGTAAGGAAGAAGTTGTTTATTGTGAGGGTGGTGAGGCACTGGAATGGGCTGCCCAGAGAACTGGTAAATGCTCCGTCCCCAGAAGTATTCAAGGCCAGGTTGGACAGAGCCTTGGGTGACATGGTTTAGTGTGAGGTGTCCCTGCCCATGGCAAGGGTTTCGAACTAGATGATTTGAAGTTGCTTTCCAACCCAAACCATTCTATGGTTCTATAAAGTTCATAGCAATAGTTATTTTCAGACTGTTAAGGGAGGCAAGTAGGATTTTAAGAATAGGATCATTTACACACTGAGAACCTGACTTTGCACCAGGAAAATAAAAGCTCAGTGTGGTATCACGTTATTACGAATGTGGGTCACCACGTAAGCTGTGAGCTGGCAAGACATATCAGTGCAGTCCGAGTTGGTGGAACAACAGCCAACAGCAGTACTGGGCTGCCATACTCTGGGTGGATTAGGAGAACAAGAAACAGTGATATGCTTTGATAGCTGGCTTCACAAATTTGATGCAGTGGAGAATCATCATAACTCTAAACCCTGAGATCCTACAGTGGGTTCTGGATGGGTTTGTGGGACTGAGACTGCAAGCCCCTCTGCTCTCTTCTCTCCAGTTTATCATATTCCCTGCATTATCCATCATGTCACTCTGAAATCCCCAATCTGATCATGCCTGGCTTAGTTTACCTTCATCAGACTTCCAGAAATTTCAACGCAGCTAAAGAACTGCGCAGCTCTTTCTAAAAAGGGCAAACCGAGTACACACAGAAAGCTTTAGTACAAAACAGGTAACTTGTCAATGTTAAAATTAACAGAAGCAGGATCCTGAAAATAGGAAGTGCCAGTCTGCCTTGAAGGTTAAGGCAGGGCAGGGAGTTCTTTGCAGTCTTTTGAATCATTCCTTCTATTACCAGAGAGAAAAAGAAATGTAAGTAGAAAGCGACCATTTCTCTGCTTTTAAGTAACTTTATTCTATTTTCTCGTACCTTATCAACTTATTTGGACTTACTTATTACTGCTTACCTTTATGAAACATACATCTCTGTTCTAAATAGCCCCAGTATTTTCAGACTATTTCTGAGTTTCTCTAAATTAAATTGCCTTTTTCTGAATGCTGAGAAATGACACAATATTGGAAGCATGAATCATATATCTATAGGGGGATGTATCCTCCACATTTCTAATGTTGTTTAACATTGTTTATTATTGGATCATTAAAGGCAAGAATTTTTATAAAGCTGGTTATAACAATTGCATTAGCATCCTGAACACTTACAAATAATTTCAAACCCTACAGCATGTATGGCAAATCCATACTGTTCAATTCCTTTGCATACTAGAATCTAACGATCTGTTGCATTGAAAGATCTCACATAACTTTTTCTAAGAGAAAGCAAAATGGTTAGTGAATTTTGTTAGTGGAGGAAAGCATTGCCTTTAAAGAAATAAAAGTCTAAGTCCCTTAAGCAGGCAGGAACATTCATTTCCCTAACACAGTCAAACCCAGTTTGATGTACTGCATTATAATGCATGTGCTCTATCACTGGCAGTGGTTTGAAAGAAAACCCCATCCTTTTTTTCTTCTTTTTATAAAGAAGAGAGGTAAACAAAAGGGAAGGAGAGGTAAACTGAAAGAGACTATCATCTTACGACTTCCCATTAGCATTTCCAAACATTTACTAATATTAAAGAACCCCCAAAATGCATGTTTAAATATCTGCATCCTAGATATGGTAAGAGTGAGTCATTTCCCATTTGACAAATAAAAGATAGACCCATGAAGTCATGGCATTTTCTTTTATTTATACAGCAGCTGCTGCTGTTCTTCCAGCATCCAGGTTGCTGCCACAGAGAAGTTGGAATAGATTGCCTTTGGGAAATAAATGTTATGAAATTCATATGTAAGATTTCAGATCATCGTTATTAATCTTAAATTTACAAATATCCTTGGAGAGAAATGTATTTACTTTTGGAAAAAAGAAAACCCAACTTGCTATTGTATTCATTTAAAAAATAGTGGCTGTGTCTGCAGAAGAAGGAAAAGATTTAAGTACTTCATTCAAGAACTATTAAATTTCTTTCTTCGGGTGATTTTATGGATCAATCCACTAGTGTGCGCTGCGGTATAAGAAACGTTAGGCACTCACACATCCCCCCCAACTTCATTTACTCCCCCTAAAACAAAAACGAAAATCAAAACCTGGAGTGTGATTAAAACAGTACCAGCTTCTTTTTAATTAGCTCTTCTAGTATTGTTATTGTCTAATTTAAGTAATAACTACAGAGTCTAATTCACATTTAAAGTCACAATGTTAATATTTACATCAACTAAAACTCAAGCTAAAATAAAATCATGCCCGAAATCTAGCAGCCCTACTCTAAAGTGAAACCTTTTCATGATGCTCTAACTCTCCTGTTGGAAATATTTTATAAAACAAGCTTTATAGCACAGCCTCTTAAGAGTATAAATAAAGAGATTCTATTTGCCCAAAATCACCAATAACAAATTTTTAAAATGACTAGCTACTTATTTATGTGATTAAGGTGTCGCTATCATATTGCAATGCTGAAAGGAAAGTCATTTCATTTCAATGACAGTTTGTCCTGATAAACGAAATAAACTTCTACAGCTGTATTCTTTGTCATACTTTCAATTTTCCTTGGGACTTGCAAACATTCTGCAGTTACATCAGTTTAAATTGTTTATTGATTCCAATAGATTGTATAAACACTTTGGAAATATAGCTCAGCGACCTAGAAAGAGCCAGATCAATCAGACAACTTCTCAAGATTAATTTCAAAGGTGTTGTGTCGAGTCCAATCGAGGAAACAGAACCATTTTCCCTGTAATGTGACTAAAGGCATTTATTTTCTTCTGTGAGATAAGGAATTTTTTTTTAAGGTCATACTGAAAATATCTACCTTGATGAAAAATAAAACCCGAAGAAAACAAACAAACAAACAAAGAAGCCAAGCAGACAGTCTAGATCCTCTGCTAAAGATTAAAGTTGTTTTCATGTATAATTTTATCCATTAAGATGAAATACTCCATTAGAAGTACAAACAGGATACATCCCATGTACTGTAGTCAAACAGCAGCTTGCAAACTTGAGAGCTGTAATAAATAGGAATTTTCAAATGTCAGACAATCCAGTCATCCTCTTGCACATAGCCAAAATGTTAATATCACATTTCAGCAGGAGGTACTAATACATTTCATATCAGTAGAATTAATGCAGAAGCCTACTGCAGAATATTTGCAAAGCCTAGCATGACCCCTTCCCCCACCATTACACCTTCTAGCCTCTGAATAACTCAGTGCATGGGGCCTCCATGAAGAATTCATCAGCTTCAAAGATACAGACTTCATGCTGAGCAAATACACATACAAGGACAAACTAGCAGACGACGGAAATCAATTAAGTCCTGTAGTACCAGATTCTCAATTGGAAAGAACGCTACTGTAATTGGAGGAAAGAGGGAGAAAGAACTCTTAAAGCTAACTATAACCTGAAGAAAACACAATCTGCAAGAACTTAAACACGGAAGAAGAGATTCTCGAGAAAGCCCAATATATTTTATTCTGAAAGAGAAGAGAAACCTCACAGATTTTATATCCAAGTAGGTACTTATGCAGCATTCGCTGTAAGTGGAGGAGTTGCTTTATTCTCATTTAAGAGCATGTGAAGTGGTAATTCAGTACAATGAACTTGGTTCTCAGTGTATACTGGTCTGTATAGAGGCACAATAGAAAGGTTGGGCTACACTTAAGAGTTTTACTGGTCTACTTAGTAAAGGATGCAATTTTGTTTTGCTTTCTCTTAAAATGACTGATGGCTATAAACCTTAGCGTAGATGCCGCACAGAAGTGGTTTAGAGACTATGTTGGTACATACCAGTTCCTGAATTGTAATGAAAATATGCCAACATATAAAAATCCTTACATTCTCACGGTATTTGAAGTGGAAGAAGTAGGCTGGTTTCACAATATCAGAATACTACTATGAGGCTGAAACAATTACACACAGACAAGGCCTTAAATCAAAGCACAGAAGC